ACAGACAGGACCATGGAAGCGGCTGATCCATCACTGAACTGGGACAGGAGCTCCTTAGGACGCCTGCCACGCTCCATGGACCGGGGCAGGTCTAGCGCAGTCATCCCTCTATCAAAGACAGGCTGCAGGTCGCAGGCTGGTACTATACCAACTCTTGCCATTACAATTGCCTCTCTGCATTCAGAACACAGAATGTTAGGTCTCCTGCACAGATGGTCAGAGTTTTATAGAAAGTATTCTGGCTAAGAGCAAAAAAAGAAGAAAACAGCTGCTCCTCTCCCCTGTGCAGCTAAATGTGCCACAGTGGTCAGTTCCCCACCCTGTTCATCTAGGGCTGCAGCCAGTTTTTCTTCTCTTTCATCTTGCAGTCTTGCTGGAGGGGTAGAAGGTGGCTGTGTGGAAATTTCCATGTTGTAGAAAGCCACAGAAAGGACAGGATGGAAGCAGGACAGCACAAGGGACAAACAGAGCAAAGCACCTTTGGCCAGAGTACAGCAGAGATGTAAAGTTCCTTTCAACATTGCTTTCTCAGCTTGTGAAAGGAATGAGAATAGACAGGACTTAGCAGTGCTGCTGATGGCTGTTATTAGGTACTCTGGGAAAACACACCAAGGTATGGCAATTTAGTAAGCTTTAACTTTGGTTAAGTGTGTTAGTGAAGTACCTGGAAAGTGCCCTCTTCCTCACTCGGCTGTTTTTTTTCCTTCGCTTTGGAGCAATCTGCTTTGAGAGACAATAGTCCTGCAGCTGAAAACCAGACCGGTTCATTGGTCTCATTGCTCTGATTGTCAGCAAGTTCATGCTGAGCTGTTGCTTGGCTTCCGTCCTCGTCACCGCAGTTTAGTCAGAGGGGCCTTGAGGGCTGTGTGCCATGGCTGCAACAGCTGATGAAAAGCTGACGAAATGACATGGCTGCCTCAGTCATAGCAGCGTGGTGAAAAAACCTAAAATTCTGGGTAATGCGTAATCATGATACATCACCATGTGGGAGCCTGGGGCAGACCTTGTACTCAGCAATCTGCAGAGGGGGGGAAATGATCTGTGTGTGTGTGTGCCTGTGCATTGCACGAGCACAGTTCCCCTGAGAATTAGTCAAAAACACCTATTCTTTGTAAAAGCAACTCTATGCAAAATTACACACTTTGGAAGCACCTCTGTCAGAGCTAGAATACAAACTGCACTAATCATGCTCCCTAAGGTGTTTTCTACAGAAAAGACATGGCTAGGAGAAAGCAAACTGTCCCTTCGGTCTCTATTTACTAAGGAGTTTTGTCACATAATTCCAGAGTCAGAGGTAAACATTAGGGAGCTGGGTTTTGGAAATCACAACCCCCTCATTTGGTTCTCTCACCCCTTGCTCCTTTGGCCATCTCACTGCCAGAATGCAACACCTAAAAGAACTTGTTTTCTTAGATAAATTTTGTAGCTCGTGATGGATAAGCACTCGGACATCCTTGCACCCTGCCTGAACAATGCAGGGTCCCAAAGCAAGATGCAGAGATGTTATTTAAAGAGCTGACCCCTCCCTCACCCTAAATTAACTTGTCCCTACCCCCAAGAACTTGACCCCACATCCTCAAGCTCCTGCTCCATACTAGTCTCACCCTCGTCTTGTGGCTATTGTTAGTTTTCCACAGGCAATGACAAACCTTGTGATAGGAATTTGCCAACAGCTGTTCCGTACAGGTGCGTATTTCCAAGGAGCTAACACTGTTCAGAAAGAAGAGAAAGAAAAAAAGGCAAGGCTGTGGCATTCCCTGCAAGGGAAAAGCAGTGTATCAGAACTAGCTTCTCCTGAACTGGGAATACACCTGCTTTTCTCAGGAACCCATTTCACTCATGATGAGTCAGGTTGCTAATACTCAGTAGGCAGCCAGGTGAGAAAGGTGGAGTGATTGTGAGCGAGTAATAAATAGCATTATAACTAGGCTAAAACTTGGCACAAGCCTCCACTTGCACTGCAGTCTTACAAAACAAACTGAAAAACACTGAAGATACACTTACTACAATCAGTTATTCTCTGTCCTGGTAGGAGCCCTCCACTAGCTGAAAAGGACATGCTTGGAGGGTCCCAGCCTTCAGGAATGAACTTCCTCCCTCGGGAGGGTAAGCTGCCTTTGCAAGCACAGCCTGGTCCATGGGAGGTACAGCTCAGGTGAGTACACCTCGCTGGCGGTCCTGGGAGCCAGCCCAGTCAGAACTCCCACACACTCCAGGCAGATCATCATCTTTGGCCAGACGCCTGTCATTTGAAACCTGTTTTATAGCCTGGCAATAGCTCCGGGTGGCAAAAGTGGAGGCGGTGGAGGACGGAACATGAACTTAGCTCCCACTGCAGTCATGCACAGTGCCTATCGCAGGACAGGGTGTGAGCTGGCCAGCTGCTGTTGCGGAGGCTCACAGAATCAAATTAGGCAGGTGATAGATTAAAAAATAAACTTTATTTAAACCAAAATTGTTTAGCAGAAAACTAACAAGAAATGAGGCTCATCAAAATCATTCAACACTCCAACAACATCAGTAAACCACAGGTTCAGGATGGTGTACGAGGAATTAATACTGCACAGCTGGCTTTAGAAATGAGGATCCAAACGTTCAGTCACCCACCTATAAGATGAGGGCTCTCAACCTCGAGGATTTTTCTTGGGTGGCATCCTGACCCAAGGGGAGAGTACCCAACTGCAGACCCGCTGCTCTGAGGAGGAGGACCCGCTCCCCTTGCCCTCTGGCGGGGCTCCATTTATACCCTGGTCGAATCTGATCTGTGTTCAGTTCTGATTGACTGAGGGCCTTGACTTTCTTAGCCCTCGCCCCACCTGTATACATGTATACGTAACAGTAACTACTGGCCCAAAGTGTGTATGTGATGGTCAGCACTTGCCACAGTAAAGGCGAGAAAAGTAAGGACATGAAAAGTAAGGACGCAGCGGTCTTAATGCCCCCAGTCTTTGTCAGGGCAGGTGCACCTGCCACAGCCTCCCAGCCAGCCCCGGTGTTTATCGCCAGTTCTGTGTTATGTATGCAAAGGCATAGGAACAGGGCTCCCCCTTCTCGAAGAGTTACAGTTTGATTTCACTGAAGAAATACTGAAGAGAGAGAAGGGGAAGAATACCCACGCACAGAACGCCATCCAACGGAAATGAGAAGACAGGAGGGCATAGCTATGTAGAAGAAAAAAAGCCAGGGAAAGGCAGAATGAAGCTGGGGCTCAGCAGAGAAGTGCTACAGCAAACAGCTTTCCAATCCTGGCCTGGGCAGACCACTCCTGGCTGCTCCAGCCAAGTGCAAGCCTTCCAGGAGGATTTCACAAAGAGCACAAGGGAGAGTTCAGGAGCAGAAGGGGAAGAAAGCACCGCTGGTGTCCCTGAGCCTCCCTTAACAGCCCTGTGCTATTACAGTAAACAGTGAGTAACCCATTCTGGGTAGCTGCAATAACTAGCTGTGGGTTTTTGCTTAAACTTGACTTTGCTTGGATTTAGGGAAGTGAGTCAGCTTACTCATGAGGCAGACCATGGCCTCTATGCATCTTCCTGTTCCACCATTTCAGTGTGGGTTTGGTTGATGGGTCCTGGAAAGCCTCTTCACCTGTCTGCCTCACAGCCCTCCCACTTCACGGAATTTGTGCTGATGTTAACTACGGCAGTGACTGCCCTCATGCAAAGAAAGAGTATTTCTGATAGAACTAACCCTCACCTGAGTGAAAATAAAATTCAACCTGATACTTTCAGTAAAAACAAATAAATAACATGGTCATCAGCACCTTAGCTACAAGCAGTAAGATCTTTCACTAACCACCACCTTAGTGAAAGTGAGCTACAAACCAGTGCCTATACAAATACTAACTATCACATCTAAATACAGACACTTCACTGCAAGTCTCCTTCCAGGGCTTACATACCCTTTTTTACTGCTGCAAAATTGATGCATAGATACCTCTACTACTTGGCCAACCTGAACTTTGAAGAGAGATTTGCAGTACAAAAATCTTACAAAACATGTTAAACCAGTTTCTGTGCTTAGCATTATGGTTTCCTTCCTTATGAATGGCAATGCAAATAGGGTTTTCTAACTGAGAATACACATACATATTTTAATACACACAAAATTACTTAATGGTTCTTAACTATTTTGTGCCACTGCCAGCATACTAGGGTGGAATTTACCATACCAAAACGTATGATAATGCCCTAGAAAAGTTCAGAGTTGTGATTAAAACTTTTGGAACAATTATCCAGCAAGAAGTATATGCTGCCTTAAAGCTGCAGGCATAATTCCCATTCTGACTGCACAAGAACAAGAAGCTGAAAAAATGCTCCATCAATTTAGGGAGTCTGACCATAGACTGGATAAACTTTCTGGGAAAAGACTGCTTAGAAATGTCTGATTCCATTTACAGCTGTAGAAGTATGAAATAACTCTGCTTGCTTCTACAGAACAAGAAACTAATCATCAATAATAGCATTGCTTAAGCCCAAATGACAGTAATCTTTATTTCAGGTCTTGGCTGAGCAAGTATAGAAACATATATCCCCTGCTGGAGCTAGGCACACAGGACCTCCCTCCTCCCCTCCCCGCCCAATAAATAAATTATAGAAGCTGTGTGATGCTGTCAGTGCAAGTCAGTCACTTCCCCTCTAACCTGCACCTACATCCCATTTCCAGGTGTGTCAGCACCTTCCACATCACCTTTGTGGGCTTCCCAAGCAACATAGAGAGCCAGGGCAATAACCACAGGAGCTGTACTAAGAACTTCTACTTTACGCAGCTGCTGCTCACTTTTAGAGAACAATCACAGACAGAGAAACTTTAGCTCTGGCTTCGCCCCCCTGATAGAGTTGTAGCTGCAATTGTGAGGTGCTAACCCCTGCTGTTACCCAGGGGTCTGCATCACATACTGGTTGCCAGCCCTGCAGCAGGCATGAGTGTTACAACCCACTGAACCCATGTCTGAACTTTAGCAGACCTCACTTCAGGCAAGATTGGAAGAACAAACAACATTTCAACTTGCCAAACAGTTTATTTCCAAAGACTGGTTTGTTTAGTCTTGGCAAGCGTGGCTAGGCTACCTTCATGTAGCAGTTGTCCTCCTGTGCAAAGGCTTGTACAAGTTTCATTTTTTTCTCATTCTTCCTGTTGTTTTCCCTCAATAGTTCTACTGGTCTTTTTTTAAATGCAGGTGCCAGTCTGGAACCCTCACTGTGAATGGTGTGAGAATCAGGAGGACAGGAACTATCCACAAAAAGAGGACGTGACAACTTGTCTGAGACCAGGAGCTCTGCAGTTTTTCTTTCTAAGTTTAGCCCAATGCTGTCCAGCGATTCTTCTGGTAAGCTAGTTGCTGAGCCACACCTCCTGCCTACGGCATGCTTTATCACCTCTTTATTTTCCCCTGCATTTCCAAGTTTCCCCAAGTGGTTGTGCATGTGGCACTGAAAGTCAGTATTTAGTCTGTTACTGCTGCTCTCTTGCGTTCCTTTACCAGTATAGTTAAAGCTGTTAGGTTTTGTCCCCTTTATAGTTCTTTCTCTGTTGTTAAAATCTTGACAGTTCAGCTCTAACAAATGCAACAGCTGTTCGTCTCTGCTGGTATTTTCATCTTTGCTATCACTAGACAGCTCATTAGAGTTGATGATCCAAAGGCTGCCATCACTGGTCTGCGTGACATTCTCACTAGAGGCTAAACCTGGGACAATGCTGCAGTCAAAACCCTGTAGAATCAAACATACATGGCCATCTGCCCTCTGGTCAGGTTCACAGATTATAGTATCTGGAGGTGTTTCTCTCAGGTTGTTGTACAAAAGATGAATGAAGGGTTCATATAGTGTCCTAGAGATAACCTCGCTGTCATTGTCACAGTATATACCATTACATTTAACTGCATTATCAAAAGGTTGATAACCAGATGGTTGAGGTCCAGTGGGGCAAGAAATTATATTGGCGTTCTTTTGAACATTTTGGTATGTTACTTGCTTATGCATTTCTTCCTCTGGTAGGAAAGCTGAAGCACTGTCATTTGCATGTGCAGAGAAAGATGGAAAATCAGTATGTTCTGAACAGATGTTTTGAAAATCAAGCTCAGTGCAGGGAGATCTGTAGTTGGTATAACATGTCTGATTGCTAGGGGGTCGATAAATTTGATCTCTGCAGCTAAGTTCTGGCGTCTCTGAAAACTGTGTCAAAGGTGGTGAGGAGCACACATTTTCAAAACACAGAGTCAGGCTACTGTTAGCCATAGATGGAGACATAAAGGTATCAAAGCTCTTATATGCAGAGCTACTTGGTTCCTTGAATGCAGACACAAGAATATCAAAGCTCTTGTATGCAGAACCACAGGGCTCCACGGATGGAGACATAAGGGTGTCACAGCTCTTGTAGACAGAACCACAGGGCTCCACGGATGGAGACATAAGGGTGTCACAGCTCTTGTAGACAGAACCACAGGGCTCCACGGATGGAGACATAAGGGTGTCACAGCTCTTGTAGGCAGAACCACAGGGCTCCACGGATGGAGACATAAGGGTGTCAAAGCTCTTATATGCAGAGCTACACAGCCCCATGGATGGAGACACAAGCGTATCAAAACTCTTGTGTGCAGGGTTGCTTATTCTGTCTTTTTTGGTCCCAAAGGATGGTTTATTTGGAGATTCTTGGATCAGGACACATGAGTCATGCTGACTTTCAGAACTGCATGGAAAAAGGCTTTGATGAACCACATGTTGAAGATCTCTTGCATCCAGAGAAGCAGAATTTATACTGGAGCTCTGATAGCCAGATTCAAAGGATTCTTCTGATTGTTCTGACTTCTTGCTGGCTGTACTACAATTGTAGTCATCTTGAGAGGCTTTGGTGAAAAGGGAGTCACTATGAGAAATATCACATGGCTGCTGACTCTGGGCTGCGCTTTCTTTTGGATTTCGCTGTGACGGATTTGCTGACTCAAGTTTCTCAAATGTTTTATTCTCACCTGTGCTGATGTCTGGGTCTTTATTGTCTTGCACGTTGTTTTCATCTGCCAGGAGCTCAATAAACATGCTAGCTAGTGCATCATTGTGTTCAGTGTGCTCTCTGAAAGCAATGACACTGCTCTCACAAGGCTCAAACATGGTGATCTGGTCACTAGTCTCCTCCTGGCTCTCAGCCTCAATGTCTGTTAAACATTCACAGATTTCTATAGACTCTTCAACCACAATTGTCTCCGGGGTTAAAACTGCACTGCTGCCTTTTGGAAACCACTCTTCAGACTTGCTGTGGCAACTGCAACATTTCTCAACATTTCTGATGTTATCTTTTCCCTTGAAGTTTTGGCTTGGCAAACTTTGAGCCAGACAGTTCTTGCAACTTCTGTTTTTGGAAGTCAAAAGGAAAGGACAGTTAAAGTTTATATAATAGGAAACTATTTTATGCTGTAAAGCAGAGGGTTTTTTTTTCCCCTTTATCTTACTTACATTTGGTTTTCCATATGACTCTGCTTTAAGTCATGGAAAGGGAACTTAATTTCATCAATGTAGCACAAAACTGAAAACTAATAAAGATACAAATGAGATTTAGGACACGTGAATTGTATTTAGTATCCCCTGCACTAGCCAGACAATAGCACTTATTACATATTCTACTTCTGGTGATCAGGAAAAGGTTATTTTTTGCAAAGCCTTTAAATTACCTTGACATTTTTTACGACCAAATGGCTCTTTGCTGGATTTGGGATTTGATCCCACCATTCTTTCTTCACTCTGCAAGAGAAGAATTAAAATTGTTTGCTTTGACTGCATTTTGGCTTCATCAGTGTACACTTCCCTCTTCTGTTCTTCTCTCCCTCTTAGCCATCTGCATTGCAGCAACAGGAAGCGCTTGTTCTGTGCATCTCCAAGTGCTGCTTTTCATTAAACTAGTGCAAAGATGTTTATATGTTTGGTGCATGACTGCTCTGCGCAACCACAGTCACGTGTTCTTCTAATCATGTTTGAAATGATGTGCGAAACAGATAGGATCCCACTTTCACCTTACCACTAAAAAAATTTAAAAAGAAATACAGGTATTTAACCATCATTACTGGAATTCCAGCAAAGACTGGGGTTCAAAACTGACAAACCCTGTAACTGCAGCCTGTTTTGGATGCTGTAACAAGCCCATTCTAGTAAGATTAATAAAGAATATTCAGTTATCTATTCAGAAAATGACAGCGTGCAACTGACTTGTGTTTATAAAACGTTTGCTCCTAGAGAGTGAGATAAAGGTGCTGAGGAAAAATAAAACATTAGATTCCTGTACTACTAGACATTCAGCTAATCAATAGCAATACTGGTATGTGTGCAAACTGCTACTCTATAAAACCTGTGGACAGTATGACACTTACTTGGTAAAACAGAAGTAACAAATTACAGATACTGCCATGATCAGTATGCAGGATACAGGAACAGCCATCTGCAGAACGTCTTCAGCTGTTACTTGGTAATCTGTTAAACAAACATATACATTTACATGTGTATGTGCATATAAATACAAGTACTGGGCAATACCAAATTCATTGCTCTTCTTTTGCACCTTAAAAAAATGCTCCTTTAGAGGATGTAAAATAAGGCCTCCAGCAGATAAACAACAGAACATACACAGCTACCAGTGGTGACGGTGTGTAGCATGTCTGAAAGATCAATGCAGGTACTGCAGTCAGTTACTCTGAGTGTTAGGAGTTGGGAGAGCCAACATGTACTGTGAGGCCATTTGTCAGCTCTCGGGGACAAACCTGTCACACAGTCCCTAAAATGGCATTATCATCTCCATTGTAGTGCAGCTATGCTTCTTGTCCTCTCCGTTGCTCCGCAGAGATTTTTATAAACCCTCAGCCCTCTGATGGTTAAAGTATTGCTTAATTTGCAGCCTAAATATCTCTTGTTCATTTATATCCACTTGCTCTTACGTCAATGTTGTTCTTTAGTTTAAACATCTCTTCTCCTTCCCTGGTGTCTACTTCATGAAATATTTATAGAGAATAAACACATTCCCTTTCAGCCTTTTTTTCCCACAAGGCTAAACAACCCAACTTCCCTTGGTCTTCTCTTCCTCAGTTTCCCCAGGAGTTGCCTTTTTACATTTAGTCTCTTTGGAAGCCTTTACAGATGTATCCACAATATATTCAAAAGGATGAAGATGATGATTCCATAACTCTCCTCTGAGAGGAGAGCAGCGGGGTATATATGATATGGTTTATAAAAATATACCATACTTTTATCAAGCTGCTATTTGTTACAATACTTACCGTAGTGAAATTCAACTTCTTCACTCCATTCACTCCAGTACGCCGGGTAGTCTGTATAGTTACACCTTACACTTGCAACGTAATCATAGCCTCTCCTCAAGGAGCTTGCAGTAATTTCAAAGCTTTTTGCTTGGTAGTTAATTGCTTTTACAGAAATCTGAAAAGAAAGTGAGAAAGTTCACTTTGGCTTCTTTATGAGGTGAAAGGTTAGTGACAGCAATTAAACAACAATAGTGTTATGTGTTTCAGCAACCCTTCACAAATGGGCAAATGAATGACTGTATACCTTATCCGCTGTGTGTGATACTGCATTTTGTTGTCATGAGCGGGTGGTATTTGTGACATGCCACCGTGCATGTTCATCCCCTACCAGAAGAAGCCCAGCCCTAAAGTGCTGGATTGTTCAGGAGGGTGTCTGAAATGCCTCAAGTGCGCCAGAGTCATGAACAGCCTCCAGCTTCCTGACGTCTAAGGAGCAAATGAAGTTCAGGGAACAGAAGCATTGTATTTTCAATCTCTGCCCTGTCTACTGTGAGCAGCAGACCATTTTGGGGTGGCAGTCAGAAGAGTTTCAGTCCTTTAAAGCCCAGCTGAATCACTTTGGGACAATGTGACCTGTGGCAAGCGTGTGATCAGGAACATTGTGTGACTTGCCCTTGCTTGGCCCTTACGCCATTATTCATGAAATGGTTTCAAGACTTTTCAGAGGACTTTTTAAACCTGAAAGCTCCAGAGAGACAGAAAAATCAAGAGACTGGCTGTCTCTTACCTCTGTCGGGTGCTGCTTCCTCCAGTATTTCACTTCATAGATGACCGGCTGTCCAGAGAGCATGGATGGAGGAGAGTAGCTCTCCTCCCAGCTCAGATTGAAATTACCATTTTCAACTTTCTCAATAGCAAGATTTTTGGGGGCCCTTGGTTTAACTGTATGTTAAAAAATACAATTAAGGAGAACATGGCAATGGGAAAGCACTGAGAAGCAGAGACACAAACATTCACCAGAGACCAGAATCTCATCGCAGTCAATGCATTTAGCCCTTTTCACTATGCTGTAGCATGAGGATATAGAGGCCAAAACAGAGCATACAAGGTATTCATTAACAAGCACTGAATCTTCAAGCTGGCTGAACAAACTGCAAGGTCAACCTTTTGGTGCACTGGACGCAGCTTTCAGCCTGGAAAAATGGGAACAACCTGCACCCTCACAATAGCATGCTGTGCCATGGGGTAGGCACAGAGCTTCTGACAACTTTGCAGCCAGGCTGTCCTGGCTACCTGTCTCTTAGAAACTGATGCAGGCTCCTGCTTATTCTGCTGATACGTAGCAGCGGCAATCAAGTATTCTGAAAAGAACCAGCTCATTGATGCAGATGAATGCCCACCTAAGGTATGTGAATGATATTCTCTGAGTGTTTGAGGTGACAAGTGTTACGAACAAGCACACTGTTCTAAACAAACTAGGTGCAAAATAGAGAGACATAAACTGTATCTATGCTCTGTCCTGTGAAAGAGCGGAGTCATTAACTTTTTATCACTGGTTGTTATAATCCAACAGCAATTACTGTAAAAATCTCTGTTCAGGGGGATGATTCAACTAGCATGAAAAATCAGAGTATGACAGAGACAGGAATGGAAGAAATTTCAGTACGGATAGCCTAGTATCTTTCTAGAAACTGGAAGTAGCACATTCCTCTTCATCCTTGAATTCTACTGCCACAAGTAAAATGCACGTCTAAGCCCCCAAACTGCTGCTGTCTGGCAGCTGAGAGGGTACAGCTAGAGGAAGAATCACTCTCTGCTTGCCCCATTACTTATACTCTTTCCTTAAGAATCTACTCCAGAATCAGGTTTCTAAGCCAAATGGATTTTGCATTTAAGCCAGCATGGCACTTTTCACCTCTGGTAAGGAAAAACTCTTCCAGTGAAATGAATGAGGAGTTAGTTAGGATTGCATAGCCTGGAACCAGATGTCCTGGTGACAAAGTAAACAGTTTCTTACCAACCAGGGCTGGTGTAACACTGTAATTCCACATATCAGTCCCATTGAACTGTAGAGCTAGTATATACGTGAGGCCTGATACAAAATAATCCGGATGTATTGTGCAAGCGCAGCTTAAACTGTCTTTTCCATTCTCAGGGACACACACATGATTTCTGAAAAACAGGCAGAAAATTATGTGATGTTTAGAGTGTGGCACACTATTTCTTGAAAAGGTGAAATCGAGCTTCCCAATGTGTAGAGCTAATCAAGTCTGAGGCAAACAAGCTCAGGTCCTAGAAACGTTTAGCCCAAACAAATCCAAACAAAAACTGAGCTCTCCCAAACAACACACCCTCCCCAAACACCCCTTGGATATCTGTATCACACAAATGAAAAACTTGACAGAAAGGCTAAGGACTGATCCCAACAGGAAAAATTAACACCCTTTGTCACACTTCAACATCTGAAGGAGCGGACTGACAGCTTGCTAGTACAGGAACGGTTTACTACAGTGTACATCTTTGGATGTCTGTGTGGAGAAATCATATGGAGAGGAACAGGAGAGTCCAGATGCATCTTCCTTTGTAGGAGATGACGACTGGCCCTGCTGCAGAACAGGGACAACAGTCTGTGCTTGAACAGAGTTAGACTGTACGCAGAGATAATCACCTGGGCTCCAGGGGAGAGTACCTTTGCTACAGACTGGTAAATTGGGTGAGATTTCTCCTGAAGGAGGTAAAATTTCTCATGAAATGAAGGTTGGGTAAACTTATGAGAGCCCTACCACTCCTACAAGTAGGACTTGATCACTCCTCTGTACTAAGAGTGCAGAGAGGTCTGCAGAAGAGTAGACCACCAGAGAGTGCTGTTAATTGCAGCAACCCATTTTCCTCCCGGCAAGAATAATAATCTGGATTACATTTTGTCCCACACACCCACAGTAGAGGGAGGGAATCAAAGCTGATAATGGCTATAGGATATATGAAGTTCCAACAATGATAATGTAACACCTTATTAAACACTTACGGCAGAACAAAAAGTTCCTTCCAGTAGTAGAGCAGGAATTCTTTGGAGCAATTCGTTTGTGCAGGCACCTTCCAGTGACAAACCAGCTCTTTGTCATAGTCACTGAAGCATGCAAATTCCTGTACATGTCCTGCAGCTATAACTAGGGAGAAGCAGCACACAATGAGAAGCAAGAGAATCAAAAGAATAAACTGGACTAAGCAGAAACATTAACTTTTCCATCTAAACAGAGTTACCAACCCCCTATAAATGAAGTGAAAGCATTGTTGTTTTTCGTGTTCTGGGTAAATGGAAAGAGATGCATGTCACCAAACGTCTCCACCTTTCTGGAGACAACGTCTATGGTCTTGGAGAGGAAAAAGGTCTGCAGTAGTAATATTGAAATAGAAAGGCACAATTCATCCAACACAGTCTTCCAAGCATAGAAAATCTGATTCTGATAGCTCTATCTAAAACACATCAACATTTAATTATAAACCAGCATCATCCTATGTGTTAAATACAAAAGCCAAAATGCAGATAATCAGAGTCAGACCAAGATCACTGCCTACAGGCATGTACTCGTGCTTTATCTACAATGGTTCTAAAGCTTCCCAAATGCATGCCCTCTGCCTCCCAAGAGCAGTTCCCCATTGCCTAGAAGATCTTCCTGTCACAGGCTTTCTTCTAGTATGCACTTTTTCTTAATTTCACTCAGTATTTCCTGTTCTGTCTTTTACTTTTCATTGTTATGACAGTGTTCGGAGACCTGGAGAGACCGAGTCACATTGTTCCAGGCATTGAGAGGGTACAGAAAAGCCCAAAGTCTCTGCACTCCCAATGTTCGCCTTTACAATCTCTTTCACTGGCAGTATTTAAGAAAAAAATAGAAAACATCAGTCAAAATATCTTTGTTAGAATTGGAAAGGGAGATGGAATACACAATCCTCAGCATCACTTCCAGCCTCATTTTCCATTATTTCAATGCACTCCACATGACTGAAACAAGGAACAGAAGAGGAGGAGCTATGTGACAGTAAGGTCATGCTGTTATTACGACTAACAGTGTGCCAAGCGTGGTACTGGAATGTGATAATTTCTAAATGAAGCAGTCAGAAATAGCTAATACTTTTATCATCCCAGACAATTCTTTGCCACCTTTGATGTTTCACTTCTCTGTTATTGGTAAAAATTAACAATATCTCCCTTTTCTTGCACAAGTTGTACAGATCTAAATACTTCTCTCCTGCTCTACATCTCAATTCGCTGTAAAAATTTAGAATAGCTTTGGCTGGTTTTTAGAATCCTATTAATTGATATTTTTCTGATAGTTTCCTAAGGGATTCTGCTAGAAGGTTTCCTGTGGCAATTATACAAGGGCCATATAAAGACACGATTTCATTTCTCTATAGTACGTACATAATCTTGTTTACACGGCCCAGCACATTACTAACTCTCCATTCTTGTCATTTACATTGCAAATTCAAGATTAAGATGCCTACAATTCACATCCTGTAAGGTCTTTGTCCTTCAGCCACTGCTGCTTCACAGAGTTATTCTTTCCCATGGGTACCTAAGTTTCAGATTATTCCTCCCAAGCAAAACCTTTTGTTGTCAAAAATACCTAATTTCATTTTATCCTTCCTACATTTCTACTTTTCTGTAGTCCACTTGTGTTATTTATTCTGACATAACTTCTGCATACTCTGATACAGTACCGTACCTACAAATGTAATAAACATGACGGTCAGATACGTTTTAGTGGACATGATACAGTACATACAATGGGATCTACCACCAGACCTTCTGGTACTTCAATAAAAACCTGACTCAAAGAAACAATTGTTTAGTACTGTCAGTGTATGGCCTTTCACCCTCATTAAAATCCACACATCACTTTCACTTGCCTTTCCAAAAGGCCTCCCACAAAACTTGACTACCAAGCAGTCCTGGATCACTTGAGCAAACTCAATAACCTTAGTGAGGCTCACTTATGCAAATGAGGATGTACGGCAATGTCAAGGAACCACTGAAAAATTCTATAAAAATCATAATCTAAATTGTCTGGTATATTGACTGGTTATAAACCTAGAACTGACTGCAGCTCACAGTTTCATTAGTGTTCAAATATTTAGAAAATGTTTTGTTTTGTTTTAGTTACTAAGGCTAGATATTTATCTTGTAGATAAGAGCTATCACTCTCATATCCTTTCTGGGTGGCAGCACCACATATAGTTCCCTTTTGTTCTGCATGGTCCCCAGTTCTTAAAAAACCCCCCAGGAATCATCAGAAGAGCAGCAAGTTAAAGATTAAACTTCTGCAACACTGTAACAGTCACACTGCTCATTTATTTTAAAAGAACCATTATCTATTTATCCTGTTGCTGTTCTTTATATTTGGTTGCCATTTGTATTTTTGTTAGTTTCTTTTTTTTTCCACTTTAAGATGCATTTTTAAAAGAAGTACTAACATTTTAAGCCCTTTAAAGAATGTAATTATTTTTCAATGTGTTAATGATCTTACTTTCAAGAATACTTCAATTAAATAAAGCTCTTCCTGCTGTGTTAAGCTATGATGATTAGCAGCTTTACTTTATCTTGCCTTTCAGTGTCCTCAAGTATTTTCAGAACTCTAAATTAGCTTCCGTATTCTTTTCCTGTGACCTTCTCCCTTTTCCACCTCTGGTACACCGTATTTTTTTTAAACCTCAGATATTTGAGAATTTCCTTTTGAAACCACATACAGTACAGAGTTTGTTTTCAGTTCGTGTAGCTAAAAAGGGAACTGAAACATGGGATTTCTTTTTTAATCCTCAACTAGAATACCATGCTGAAGAAACTTAAAACATGTAGTTAACTGGGGGGGGGGAATCTGTAAAATTAAACCTTGGTAAAGATCATTTACTGAAAATGTGGGACTACCTAGATCAGATGACCCAGCCAATGCATGCTTGCAAGCCTTGATCCTTCTCATTAATTCAAATTGTACTATTTCACAGTACATAAGAAAGTAGCTAATAAACCTTCTTTTTTAGAGACAGGCTATTTTTAATTGTCTTTTAACTATTTTCGTTTGCTTTAAAAAAAAAAAAAAGAAAACTAAAAAACTGTAGACTACTGTGGAACTACTTAATAACTACAGAAAGCAAAATGTAAGATTCTTTTTCCAGAGAATAAAAATGCATTGTTGGAAAACATGATTTTATATACCTAACTTTTCTTTATAATCAAATATCATAAAAGATACAAGGAAAAAAAATTTTCATATTCAGCCCCTGCCAGTTGAACTTCAGAAAATAACCATCAGCTAACAAGCAGCATTAAGACTTAACGCAGCTACACGTCCTGGCAGATCAAAAGAATGGTCTAGTGAAGAACACATAGGACATCACGTGGCAGTCACCTGCCCCTGCACAGGCACAAGTCAGAGCACGTAATGTCTCACAGCAAGCGCCTGCAAAATTTGTTCAAATTCAGTCAACTACATTTTCCAACTTAGTAACTCTGCACACTTCAGAGAACACAAATCGACAGATGCCCTTTAACAGTAGATCTACAGGCTCCATTTCATGAGCGTAGCTCCCTCAAGGTCCTGCATGGTGAACAGTGGCAGTTATGAAAATAAGCAAATGAGAGACTAGTGCTTTCTCCTCTTATGGGGTTTCTACAGAGATGTTCCTGGGTTATTGCTGAGCACCTTGTTTGCAGCAAGGTGTCCAACAGAGGTTAGATAATGGGGAAGCAGGGAGATGACTTTCCAAACCTCAGTTTCTCCTTCCTGCAAATTCCTATTTTTTCTTGCCCATATGGAAAAGGTCAATAAAAAGAAAAAAAATCTAAGAATTTATTCTAGTATTCTGATATTTCTGACATTTGAAGTTACACATTTTATATTAGTTAATTAATGGTAATAGTGTTGCCTACTAGTCATGAGAAAATGCTGTCGATAAACACTTCAGTATAATAATTTAAAACATTGACAAACTTACCTTCATTTGTTGTATATGAAAAGAAAAGGATCCACAGGGTATGCGGTGCAGCACTTGGGAGTCTTGCCATCATTGACATTGGCCAGGTTCAGTAGGACAAGTTGTGATGAAATTCTGCCAACAGAAAACATTATTATAAGCTTACATCAGTGTCCCAGTTAAGGTAAGGGTGTAGTTTTTCCTACCACTCTGCTAGATGTTAGGATTCAGATCCCCTGCAGTGCCTGATCCCCCTAAAGTTAGCTCATGGAACAATGAGAAGTGTAGAAGAATAAGGATAATACAAATGAGCTACAAGACTTTTCTGCAAAGTTTTAGTTACAGAGGATACTGGACTGACATTGGCAGTGGACCCGCTCTTTTCAGCTACTAGAAAAGCAAAGCTGCTAGTATGTGAGATATTAAAAGAGTAAGCACTAGACCAAAATCATTGACAATCAACATGTCACCAAAGCCCTGTGATTCCACTCAGATAACTGAAAGAATTTAAGAATGAAGTGCCTGATCTATTGACTAAAACGTTTTCCCCAAGTCCTATCACCAGTACCCTAAATAATAATTCTCCTGAAAAATATTTATCTTATATAGAAATAAACCTTGCTTCAACAGAATGCATTCATTAAAACAGTAAATAATTAGAAGTTATAAAACACATACCTAATCATAATATAACCTGCACAACTTCAGAGAAGGAAAATTATGCAGCTTTCACATATTAGATTCTTTAAGCATAGCAAAGCTGTTTAAGTAAACTGAAAACAGATGAAATAATTAATTTAAGACTTTCAAAAAACTTATTTCCCCAATATTCTTTTGCTGATGCAACGTAGCCACTTAGTGGAAGATCATATTCTGGATTAGATATGGCTACCAGCTTTCCTATCACTAGAAATGTATGCAATGCCTTTAAAATTTTGGTAAATTTGTAGGTAAAGTCATGCTAACTAATATGGAATAACCATGACTTTGCATTCAGTATAAAGAGGGATGAAACTTGTTCAGCAGCCCATTGTCTGTTAATACACAACCCTTTTGTCCCTTCCTCTCACGCTCTTGATATTCTCTAATCTCCGAGTCTGGACACAGTGTTCTTACTACCTGCGTGCTACAGTTGCTCTGCTTACACCTGCAAAGTTCCCAGGTGGCATTTGATTTCAAAACCTCATGATTCCTTCTCTGTGATTGAGTAAAGAGGAAGGAACTTCTCAGAAGATCTCCTTTAGCAGGAGAGTGGTGTTGGGCTTTCTGCAGAAGTTTTGTTAGATACTGAAGTAGAAGAGACCATTGAAATGTATTTGTTGATGGTGGTTCAATACTCTCTGCTCCAACTACAGTAGTAGAACAACCTTTGACGGTTCTAACAGATTTGAGTTTCACCACCACAGAAGACAGAAGGCATTGGCGAGGGATCAGCAACTCTGCTGCAGTGTAAACTTGTTAAGTGATTAGCTTCAGAAAAATTTAATGACCTTTTGGAAGTATGCATGTGGGCACTGTATACATGTAAGGACGTGCAGCCTCAAAGGCATGCTACCAAAGCTGTATCCCCTCAGATAACTCCTCTCTAAAAGTGGGAAGATTCTCAAGCACAGCTGCTGAATATTTGTTGGCAAATATTCGAATAAACACAAGGCAGGCAACAGCCGGACTCTTTCTCAGTTGAGTAAGGGACAGAAAAATCAATTTTTTATAAAGAAGACCATACCTTTTATTGATAAATGTATCTACATAAATCAAACTATTGTGAAATGTAGCAATAGAATCTTCATTTTTTTCAATATATTTAGAAGTACTAGCACTTCACTTACGCTCAATCTTTACTTCAGTATGTCAGATTCAGCTCCAAGGCAATTTCCTCATAATCCAAGTTTCTGCACTCGTCAGAAAAGTCACATTTAATGATACTATATTTCTTCAATTCTCACATGCATGATTGACCACTCTTTAAAACAAGCTTCTAAAGATTAAACATGGAAAATTTCAATCTTAGAGGTTAAGGGACAAGAACATTGTTAGTGAAAATAGAAGATTAGAATGGAAACTCTTTTGTGACCTTCTCTGAGACAGTTACTGCTCATCTAGTAATGAAGGACATACTTGAAAGACAAATTTCTCATAAATGCTCAAGAAAACTATTACTCAAGAGCTGAGCTTGTCACATTTTGGGAACAGACAAAACAAGACTGAGCATAGTAATACATTTCTTGAAAAGAACACAAGTGCCTTTGCTGCTGCTAAGAAAAAAAAAGAGCAAACTGCTCCAGCCTAAAAAAAAATCCTTCTCTTTTCCTCCTTTTTCCTGGAATTGTCAAGAGAGGAAGTGTTTGCTTTCCAGTCCATTCTTAAGTAATACTGTCGCATGACTGGAGTTCCAAGAAACTCTTAAAACTTTGGCAGAGAATCCTGTATCACATAAGCATGTATGAATCAGCAGATGGCAGAGCAAAAAATCTCCCCCATTGGAGAAAAGATCTACACGTTGATGAAAAAGGAGTTAACCCATAGCTCTAATGAAACTGCAAACTTTTTTTTTTAATACGAGTAATGAACTATAAATCCAATGCAAAGGGAGAAAATTTTGAAATGGCAATAGCTTTCCTGTCTATTAGCTCTTAAGTTTTTCTTTATATCAGATAATGAAATACCAATCTTAAAAAAGTATATGACACAGAGAGAGAATACTAAAATCACAGAAAACCTAGTAATCCCAATATATTTGAGGAAAGTAAGGTGTAAAAGACGTGACTTCCCCAAAACTGTGAAAGAAATCTCTATTGGGGCTAGAAGCGGGTCTACGTGATTACTGGCACAAGTTATGTGCTTTTAGCATTTATCATTTCTGTCTCTTGAAAAAAAATATGATGCAATTGAAAAGATTTCATTTACTATCAAGAAAAACAGTAACAACTTCTGGTCTGGGCTTCTAAATAAATTAGGGTCACATTTAATCTACAGGCATAATTTGCAAAATTGTTATGCTCAAAGAGTAACTCACGCCCAAAAGACAGGAGATAGTAATTTCTACATAAGACTGCTTAGTTTACCTTTGCTGCAATTGTACAGGTAAAGGACCGCTCCCGGTTTTAAAACCGGATCTTTTTAAAATTAAAGCATATCTTGTCTTATTCTTTCTGGTTTAAAACACTGGCTGTAACTGCAGACTAAAGTGAGATAAGAAGTATATAGCAAAGCAAAGTAAAAGGTCATCAACTGATTTTGTATCAAAATTAGAAAAGAAAAAAGTTAGGGAGTAACTTCCATCTTTTTTTATTGTTGCTTTAACTGATTTTTTTTCCTAAATGCCTATACAAAATGGCAGACCTACAGGAACATAAATCGTAATACCTACTCTTAGATATGCAGTGTGACTGTCAGAGGCAACCGCACAAAGTATGTGTATGGTGAAAAGCGTAGGCGTCTCAGACAAAGTGGGTTTTCACAAGAATTTGGAAGCTGAGGAGGGAGCCCTGTATACTACATTAAGGAGGAGGTTTAGATGAAAGGGTAGACTAGAAGATATTTAGAAGTTCCAATAATTAAGGATGGCAACTTTGGTCAATGAAGGGCCAAAAGATAAAATTCAATAGTTCCCACTTACTTTGTGTTATCTAAACTGAACAGTAAACCATTCCCATATGCTTCTTTACCATTCAGCTAATACACCATTGTGTTAATGTTCTCTCTTCTTGCTGAGACCACTTCAGTGGAAAGTGTTGGGCAAGCAGAAACCCAAATCCATGACCAGGTCCTTAGACTATGGATTCTTTAGTGGTGAGGCTTTGTCCCATTTTTTATCTTAAAGGGCGTAATACACATATTATTGCTTATCTAACCCTATTTCCTGCAGCATTGTACGATCACTAAAGGAAGAATTTAACTTCAGAATGGTGGATTTTAAAGGAGCAAGACATTCTTTTTTATTCTTTTTAAATGAGTAATTTTACTAGTATTTTAATGTTATCCTCATTCCACAAATTGCTTCATGTAGTTTGGGATACTTACCATTAATGTCATTTTACACGACAACATGCAACAACATACAAATGTATCTGCATTTCTGGAGCAGGACAGGGCACATCTGGATAAATCTCTCCTCATAAATATGAGAAGAACCTCTCAAAACAAGCAGATGGGTTCTCTTTAAAAAAACTTGAAACTGGTCAATTTTTATTTATGACTTAAGCTGAAGTTTCTGCATTCCAGCATATTTTCATATTGAGATGATGGAAGTCAGCAAAGGGCATTTGGGCCTATAAGGAATACAGTACTTTCACATAATTTGACAAACTGCAAATCACAGTCTGCAAGCAGCAAGGTAACTTCAGATATTTCCTAATTTAGAACCGACAGAAACTATGGAAACTGCTGAATTCGGACATGCTGAAAAAAAATGCCAAAAATACAAAATGTCTAGACTAAAACGACTAGAACAGCTCACTTCCGATCCTACGTTTCTGAACCCCTGGTTCTGAAAATTTAGCCTAAATTTGGCTTAAGTTTTCTTGGAATCCATACACGCTGAGAGTAATTTTTAAAGAACGAAATCTGAGATTCGGGAACAGCTCTGCCGTTCAGAGCGAGTTCAGTGTGGTGGATTCCCTGGTCACGGAACACGGGTCCTGGCTAACGCGGCTTTTAAGTGAGCGCAGCGAGAGGTCTCGTACTTCCTGCGCCCCTCAGGCAGGATTTCCAGCAGAAAGGAAAACTCTGGGAATTACACCAGTTTTGCCTTATTTCAAAAGGAGTGCCCGAGCCAAACGACCCCAAGGGAGGAAAAATACTTCTGCCAACAACAACGCTTTTGCTGACTCGCGGGCTCCAGCAGCGTCCTGAGCCCTCCCACCCCGAGCGGGGCCGGAGCCTTGCTGCAACAG